ACGGGCCGGGCGCCTTTATTTTTAATCAAATTCATTAAAAAAAACTGAAACACTTGAACGCAGCAGCACCTGCCTGCTTCTCACGCACCGGCACCCGTTAGCTCAGTTAAGGTCTGTGCGGTTTATAAATGCGCCTATAAAAACAAATTCTCAAACTGCTTATTGAAACATGTGCCCCTATTCTAATATGTCATTTTATGTCCATTTTGATATGTCAGAAACCATTCGTTTATTCTCATGAAAACGGCAGCATTCTCTTTTTCTGTGAATAAATTCGCTCTGCAGTAAAAAAAAATACAGCATTCATTGCTGGGCTTTTTTCTACCTGGGGAGCGAATTTTCAGAGCAGATTAAATTTACAAACGCTATATTAATTGGGGGTGTTTATTTAATCTGCCGCTCTGAAAATGCGCTCTGCAGTTAGAAAATTAGAATGCTGCTTTATTTTCTAATTGCACAAGAGCGCATTTTCAGAGCAGATTAAATTTACAAACGCATCCAATTAATATAGTGTTCGTAAATTTCATCTGCCGCTCGAAAAATACGCTCTGTTAGAAAAAGAAGCTGCATTAAATACTGTTTTTCTTTCTTTTTTCTTTTCTTTTTTTTTTTTTACTGCAGAACGCTTCTAACAAATAATGAGAATGCTGAGCATTCTATCACGCTAAAACATTATGAAAGGTTAAAAAAAAAAGTCAGGCTCGGGCCAGAGAATCCTGAAAATCTTTTCGGACCGGGTCGGGCTGGGGCTCCACCCCCTCCGGCCGGGCACGGGCTCAGATTTTAGGCCCATGTAGGGCTCTACTTGGGGGTGCTATGGGGATGCAATGACTAACCCAGGGGTAGCTATAGCGCCCCCTAGTGCCTCCACTGCAGAGAACTAGTAGGTTTGTGTTTGGTGACCTGGTGAAGAAAGGTCCAACATGGTAGAAAAGAGATGCTGCTGTATCGTGAGGAAGTATGGGTTTCTGTGCCAAAGGTTGTATTTGCCTGGCTGGGTCAAAGCTGGGTCACGCAGCACCTTCACCCACAGATTAAGACCTAAGCCGCCAGCAAGTCTGAAGGAATCCACAACAGCCGAACACCTGCATCTCCAGAAGGACTTCACACAGTCTAGTCATAATAAAACAGTCTTAAGCTTTCTTTGTTTATTAATGTTAAATAATCATTTGATCACTTTGCCCGTTATAAATGTATTTTAATCAAATGAATGATTATTATGGTTTGGGTTATCATAATGAACTATAATGAATCAGTATACTTAATTAAATAATGTTTTTGAAGATGTTTAGCGATGACCTTCACACCTGCTCATACAGGTCCAGATCCACGGTAATTCAAAACACATTTGCTCTGACGCACAACAGGCTTGCTTTGGGAAGAGAAGTGGTTTCGGTACGTCAGAACGATAGTGAGAACGGAACAGAGCGGAAGTGCGGAACGAACGCCATGGGGAAAAGAGCCCTGCCGGCTCCTTTTCTCCCTCCACGCTATTTCTGTCAAGCCAGACAGAATAGCTGAAATGCAACCAGCTAACACAGACTCGTCCCAGAGTCTTTTGATTTCTGAGTTAACTTAAACTTGAGAAAGCGCATCTGCCGGAACGCTTCATCAACGTGTACCGAGGTCAACTCTGGACTGGACCGTCAGCACACCTTCGTCTTCTCTGTCAGCCAAGGTGTCATCTGGAGAAACATCCTCCTGTGAGGTCCGGATCTAAAAGAGGGTCCTAAGTGCGGTGAGGCAGAACACGATAGATAGCGTTCTGATGCTGTTTTTCTAATAAGAACTAAAGTTTAATTGCAAAACATCATTTTTCACTCAATTCACCTTTTCTCTCCTTGAAGCAATCTCAGACACCTGCATGCACGCATTCATAATTCCATCATCCTCAATCTTAGCACATCCAACACAAGGTCTATTTGAGCAAGCTTAAAATATCAACTGTTAAAGATTGTCCAAAAAGGTTGCCAATGCTGATTGTTTTTCCTATGATTGTCATTTCAAATCGTTAGTTTAAATTGAAGAATTAAAACTCTTAAATTTCAAACTTGTCTCTTCATTGAACTGAAACACAGACACACGGATATGATCGTCAGTTTATCGATGAAAACAACCTTTGAGTCTTCTTATCTCTATAACATTTGGTTATTAATTTGTAAAAATTAATATTCCAGATTATTATGTAGAATGGTTTATCTTTCATAAAAGAGCCAACAACCATTACGCTACACTGCAAACAATGGGGATAAAAAATGAGCTATTAACGCTGAAAGGAAGACGATTTGTTAAGCAACAAAAACAGGTTTTTTTTTTTTAATATCAGAACAAAAATTAGAAACAGCAGTAAGGACATTGGGAGGAAAAACATGAATTATATTTAACTATAATCAGGTGTTAGATACATGTTAGTACATAAAAAACTAAGATGCAGACAAAAATTCAGACCTACAGAAACAAAAGTAAGACTCTGCATTTAGTGAGAGGTTTAAAAATGAAGAGGATTCAATCAAAGAGGAGTTGAACGAGCCCATCGTTAAAACTTGTTCAGGGCTCGAGGGAAAAATGTTTCACTGTGAGGAAATTACACAGTTCTGTTGCATCAATCGACACAGCTGAGGCCGAGGCGTCTCGCTCACGAGACAAACGGAGGGGAAAAGATCCAGAAAAATCATAAAATAAAGGGAGGTCGCCGAGATAAATTAGGAGCACAGTCTGAAACTGCTGCTCTCGCAGCAGTGAGGAGGAATAACGAATGCAGCAGCAGCAGCGGCGAGGTCCAATTCCAACGAGAGCAGTAAAAACAGATGCTATCAGAGAGAGACAGAGGATTAAAGAGGACGTGTCATTTTCTTAGGTGTGCTGACAGTTTGAGGCCAACAGCACTCAGAGCCCGAACGTGAGCCCACAGCAGCTGTTTGTGGGACACACACACACACACACACACACACACACACACACACACACACACACACACACACACACACACACACACACACACACACACACACACACACACACACACACACACACACACACGGTTCTCATCAAGTCTAACATGCTTTGGAGCTTTCTGTTGAGTCATGCTTTGCCGACGGTGTCAAACAGCTGATCGCTCCTACTTTCTTCTCCTCATCCTGCTTCCTCCAAACCTTCACCCTCCTCTCTGATCTCATCCTTTTCTCCTCTTGCTCAAAACCACACTTCGTGGTTTTCCAGGATTCAGGATTCCACTCCCGTCTCCGACGCAGCTCAGACATGAACTGTTGGGACTCCTCTGGGGTCATTAAGCTAGTTTCTCCATGGCAACGGAAGCTGCCGCAGTGATACGCAGGCAAATTTATATTGCTATGCAAACATGAAAACGGCATCGTCTTTGATGGTTTTGAATATTTATTTGAATGAGTGATATCCAAATTTGCTTGGGATCAGCTTTAAAGGGTAATGACAGCTTTTATGGATATTTTTAAGCTGACAATTGTTAAAATATCATCCAAAGTTCTGCATTTCCTTGAAGTAAAGCATCAGTTTTACATAATGTTGACAGGGTGCTCTCAACACCGAAAACAATTTCTTATCTTTTTTACAAGAACCTCACAGCTGAGGTTGCTACAAAGAAAACGCTAACGAGAAGAAACACTGTTTAGTGGTATTTTGCCTCCTACGTGGATCAGTGAGTTTGTACAACATTTAAAGGGGCATTATGGAAGTTTGAGAGCCAAAACATGTATAGAAATAATAAATTTCTTCTTCATACATTCTCCTGCAATGCCCTGGTCCTGTAGAATGAGCCCTGGCAGTTTTACTGTGATTGCCTGATTTTCTGTAAAATCACAGAAAAAGAGAGATGCTCGGGTCGAGCAGGCTGCTTCATGCGCGTTCACGCTCAGGCATAGCCCGTAGCATTTGCTATCAGTAGCTTTAGCAGCAGAGAGAGATGCAGTGCCACTTTGTCGCTGTTCCTAACGCCTAGTGACAAACCTAGCTACATTTCTGAGGACCCTTAGCTACTTTCTGTAGAACTTTCTTCTAGATATTTCCTGCAAATTAGCAACAAAATAGCCATTTTTGCTTCAAACCGTTCTTTGAACGTTGTTTCAGCTGTCATCAAGGATATAAATGTTACAGATACAATGGATGTCACTGGCGCTTTAGCTCATCTAGTAAGATGTCGGACTCTCGTGCAGAAAACCCGGGTTCAATTCTGGAGGTGAACATAGTTCATTTAGAGTTTCTTTTTCACTTTAATGGTATATTTTTTTACAGTAAGATGCCCAAATTTTTATTTGAGACTCACCGAACAGCATTGAATTCACAGATAAAAAAGATGTGGGTTCAACCTTCATTTTGGAACAATTTTTCAAGCAATCGGGGGCAATCGAGAGCATAAAAATTCAAAACTCCGTAAAGGCCCTTTAAATAATAAAGTTAGGATGCTGCAGGGTGGTAAAACGTTAAACCATAAAAGACAGAATGACTGTGCAGTGGTGCAGTGGTTAGAGCTGTCGCCTTGCAGCGAGAAGGTCCTGGGTTCGCTTCCCGGCCTGGGATCTTTCTGCATGGAGTTTGCATGTTCTCCCTGTGCATGCGTGGGTTCTCTCCGGGTACTCCGGCTTCCTCCCACAGTCCAAAAACATGACTGTTAGGGTGATTGGTGTGTGTGTGTGTGTGTGTGTGTGTGTGTGTGTGTGTGATTGTTTGTCCTGTGTGTCTCTGTGATGCCCTGCGATGGACTGGCTCTCTGTCCAGGGTGTACCCCGCCTGATTGCCCATTGACCGCTGGAGATAGGCACCAGCCCCCCACGACCCTACATGGACAAAGTGGGTTCAGACAATAGTGACACGCAGGCATATAGATGGATGATGAGAGCCTGAACCCTGGCAGCAGATATTAGTTCAATGGCCACAAACAAAACATCTCAGCAGCTGCTGCAGCAGCAAACAAAGTGGGGCAGAAAGGAAAGAGTTCGACCTTAAACTAAAGAAAAAAGATTTCTCACCTTGCATTTCATCATGTCGCTGACCCTCTGCTTCATCGACTGTCCAGCTTTGGGTCTGACCAGGATGTAGAGGGCTTTAACTTCAGGGCAGGACCTCAGCAGCTTCTCCACCAGAACTTTCCCCATGAAGCCCGTGGCTCCGGTGATCAGCACGCTCTTGCCGGCGTAGTACTCGGGTATGGACGCCATCTTGCTGCACCGTCGCAGATGTCTGGTCGGGTCTGCTGCCTGCTCTCCCAACCTGTCGAGGTCCTGGCTTTCAGACAGCTCCTGCAGAGGGACGAGGACGGAGAGCTTTAAGACGCTGTTTGGATCAAACACACAAACATTAGAGCAGCGCTCTAAACACATACAACTTATAAATGCTTCATTTAGATGGTCTCTCCAGGAAATCCTGTTTGAACAAATTTAAAATGTGACCTTTAGTTCTGAGCCTCAGATAAAAAAAAAAAAAAAAAAAAAAGAGTGTAAAATTAGGATTAAACTAAAAGAGCCAGAAAACCCGAGAAAAGAAAAACTAAATTAAGAAGAAAAAGGTGAAAACTGCCATGCATCATCATAACTTTACTTCTTTATTTATAATTGCACAAGAAGCATACGGATATTAACACACACACCGACTTCCTGCTGATGTTTTCTAATACACACAGGAAGAACGAGCAGTTTGACGCCTTGCCCTTGTTGCCCTCCAGAGCCGTTATTCAGGCTCCACAGAAGAAAAGTGACTAAATCCTGAATTTCAGCTTAGCCTTTAAAACCAACAACAAACACCGACTCATGATGGCTTAACCGTCAAGGTCATTGTTGCAACATATGGTTTACATCGATTAAGATCTTTTAACTTTTAAGTGTAAGACAGATTTACACACACACCCCTCTAGTAGTTTCTTATTCTAAGGAAACTGACACACACACACACACACACACACACACACACACACACACACACACACACACACACACACACACACACACACACACACACACACACACACACACACACACACACACACACACACACACACACACACACACACACACACACACACACACACACACACACACACACACACACACACACACACACACACACACACACACACACACACACACACACACACACACACACACACACACACACACACACACACACACACACACACACACACACACACACACACACACACACACACACACACACACACACACACACACACACACACACACACACCTCTAGTAGTTCCTTATTCTAAGGAAACTGTAGTATCAGATAACCCGGACCGTGTCTACTTGCAGTGGGGCAAAAAGTATTTAGTCGAGATCTGGAGACTGGCTAAGCCACTCCAGGACCTCTAAATGCTTCTTATGAAGCCCCTCCTTTGTTACTCGGGTGGTGTGTTCGGGATGATTGTCATGCTGAAAGACCCAATCCCGTGTACTCTTCAATGTCCTTGCTGATGGAAGGTTTTCACTCCAAATCTGACGATGCATGGCCCCATTCATTCTTTCCTTTACCTGGATCAATCATTCTGGTCTCTTTGCAGAAAAACAGCCACAAAGCATACCATACCACACCATATTTATTTATAAAGCACCATTTCAAAATAGCATGGCAGCTAACCAAAGTGCTGTACATAAAAAGCCAAATGCTTAACCAAGAAACACAATAAAAACAGGCAAAATACATAAGAACAAAGCATAAATAGTCGGAGATAAAAATTCCTACTAAAAACAATAAAATAGGAGAACAGTTAACAGCACTATAAAATAAAATAATGCGACCAATGATAAAAACATTTGAAATGGCACAAATAAAACGAAATAAAATACCAGATGGTGTGAGGTGCCCCTGATGCTTCCGCCACCATGCTTTACAGTAGGTATGGTGTTCTTTGGACGCAACTCAGCATTCTTTCTCCTCCAAACAGGACGAGTAGAGTTCTTACCAAAATGTTATATTTTGGTTTAATCTGACATTCTCCCAATCCTCTTCTGGATCATCCAAATGCTCTCCAGCAAACTTCAGATGGGCCTGCACATGTACTGCCTTAAGCAGTGGGACACACCTAGCACTGCACTGTCTGTGTTACTAATGGTAGTCTTTGTAACTTTGGCCCCAGCTCTCTGCAGGTCATTCACCAGGTCCCCCTGTGTAGTTCTGAGACTTTCCTCACCATTCTTGTGATCATTTTGATTCCACAGGGTGAGATCTTGCATGCAGCCCCTGATCAAGGGAGATTATCAATGGTCTAATGTCTTCCACTTTCTAATAATTGCTTGCACAGTTAATTTCTTCACACCAAGCTGTGTACCTATTGTAGATTCAGTCTTCCCAGCCTGGTGCAGGTCTACAGTTTTGTTTCTGGTGTCCTTTGGCAAGCCATAGTGCTTATTTCCACCATAATTTTCAAATAAATAATTTAAAAATCAGACAATTTCATTCTCTGTTTTTTCTCTTATAGTTGAGGTATACCTATGATGAACATTACAGGCCTCTCTCATCTTTTAAGTGGGAAAACTTTCACAGTCGGTGGCTGACTAAATGCCTTTTTTGCCCCACTGTATCTGAACAGTTTCAGCATAAATAAAGAAAGAGTTGGTTGAACAGCAGGCAACTGAATAACAGCAACAAACAGAGGCAGGCTCACATGACTCAAATCCAAGTTCAGCCTCACAAACATAAAAATCACACAGAAGTCATAAAAGGTCGTACAAAGTACAACGGTACTCTCAGGTGGGTATTAAGTTTTATATCAACGACCTGCAAAAGCAGAGAGACCATAGAGTCGTCACATTCCTCCTAAAGGTCTGGACCGTTTTAGGTGCGACGCACACTCTGAGCCTGATTGCTTTACTATGCATTCAAAACATCTCAGTCTAAAGGTAAACAGCAGCAGTCTACATTTACAGTTACTCTTCTGATTTTAGTCCTATGGGCCATTCCCATCTGTACCGGGTCGGCCCGGGCCGGGTAGCCCCAGTCGGCCCCAGCCTGGCCCGGTTGATTCCACACATCCTTGTCTTAAGCCCATGTGGGCTGATTCTACCCACCAATCAGAGGCTTGCTCTAATGGAAGGTGTGAATGGGCTGATTCTACCCACCAATCAGAGGCTTGCTCTAATGGAAGGTGTGAATTTGCTGTCAGCAGTGGGCGTGTTGGCCCTGGTCGGCCTGAAGCAGTACCCCTCGGGAAGAGGGCCGAGAATGAGCCTTGGTTGGCCCGGGAAAATTCCAGGCCACCCAGATATGTAAACAACCTACGCTACCCGGCCCGGGCCGACCCGGTACAGGTGGGAATGGGGCTCTAGAAAACACAACTGTGCTGAAATAACTTTCCTTCACCGTCGACACACATCCATGTTTATAAGTAGTTGGGGTGGTGAAGAGATTATCACCACTGGACTTTGGAGGTAGAAAAGCTTGGTGTTAATGTTTTCCACAGAAATACTGATACATACAAGAGAACAGCTGGGTTTATTATAGTCCCAGTTGTAACGGAACAGAATGACTGTTTTTTCCCTTCTTTGCACAAGACTAGTCTGCATGAGATATGGTCTCAAGGTCTCATGCATTCCTTCTAACATGCTTATTTTCAGCTCAACAGAAGAATGAAGAATGAACTCTTTTCTTTGAATTAATCAAAGAACTCTATTTTAATAACGCTAATCCATCAAAGTGTTAGTCAATGAATAAGATGTGACTGACCTGTGAAATCAAAATATTAATTACCTTATTATAATCCTATAGAATATAAAGGTACTGTGACTTTAAGTGTTCCAACAGGACTCATCTCACGTAGCGATAAAAAGACATAACACATTACTTTCACTGAGCCAATCAGAATCTGTCAGATCTGACGGAGGCATGGTTTTGATAGTGTTTGGTCATTTTTCATTCGACAATAAACCATTACATCTGAAGTATAAAACTATGCCACGTCATCTCTAACGTCAGTTCAAAGCGTTCCAGAGAAAGTGACGGAGTGACCAATCCTGATCTCTACTCTTTAACCGAAAGAACAACGACATGCTGAAAAGTTCGTCGCTGTTCCAACAGCGACAACAGTTCCTTTCAGAATAAAAGCTGAATCATCCAGACCCAGGCTTGGGTCTCACCAGTCGCCAACAAACTGTTTTGTACCCGGAAGTATCTCACAGACTGGTCTAATCGGCAACCGCGGCTTTTCCTACCGGCTCGGTTCCAGAGAGGGTCAAGCTAAGACCTCAACATTCCAGATCTACAGAGGACTTCCCGAAGGGTAGGTAGACCGGCAAATGGTGTCTCGTGTGTTTATGGACCTCCTAACCAAAGCTTAATGCGAAGACATCACAGTCAGTTCCCATCAGAACTAATCGCTTCTTCGGATTTGCTGGTTCTGATCAACATCACACGTCATCCATCCACCGTCTCATCCACATTATTTACACCATACATTTAGTTTTAAAGTCAGTCTAATTTGTTAGTAATAAAATTCTTAACTCATAAACTTGACTCTCTTCTTTGCCTCTGAGTGAATACGAAGCTGTTATCTAATCCCTGCATTAAAAGTTCCAATCTTCTGGTTTAAATAATTCACAGATCCGTAAGGTGGATTTCATATTTCCTATGGAATCCTACGCCTTATGGCTCATTAAATAACACGTAATGTAATTCATTACACATTTTAAAATGTAATTTGTGTAATCGTTGCTTTTATTCTAGTTTTGTTGCATTTTATCAACGGGCATCAACCGAGCGTTCAACTTTGTCCTCACTTCCTCTAGGCAGCAACCTGAGACGTCACACAGCTTCAGCAGCGAGCCTGACAGGAATCACTCTGAGCAAAGCTGTGTGTCAACACGTGGGCTAAAGGTGGGCTAAGAGTTCTCAACCACACAGCCGGTGTTGCTGCTTATTTGTGTGTAACCACGACAACGTCAATGCACCGACGCATTACAAGCCCCATTGAGAGATGACAGGTTTCCTGCTTCTGCTTTGTGTCATTCCAACCAGAGAGAGAGAGCAGACGTTTGCTTAGCTTCATCTAGACAGGAAGCAAAGCTAACCAAACTTTTTCTTTGGAATGATGATTGGTTTAAAAATGAAGCTGTGATTCTGGAGGAGCCAACTGGTCAAAGGCTTGCTCCAAAACACAGAAATGGAACAACTCTGTAAATCTTGTGTTTGAGATAAACTCCTGGTTTGTTCTCTTATGAAAAATCTCCCTCACACCAACTAAGGCCTGAGATTTAGACAGACTGACAGAAAAAGTACATAAAAAGGGTCAAAG